CTTCCTTCGGCATTCCGCATGTAATTGTCACAACCGACCTTGCCCATGCAGGGGCTACCACCGTACGCACAAAGAAAGCAACTGTGCAAGATGTGCGTGCGCGGTGTCGCGACGGGTCTAGTGCGCAAGGTCAGGGCGATTCAGGCCGAGCTGGAAGCTGCTGTTGTGGAGGTCCGCCATAAGCGGTGTGAGAGGGCAAAATACACCGCTCGAGCGGGAAAAGGCATCTTTTCCCACGCCTTGATGCGTCAGCCGCGTGATATTGTAAACTCCGAATAAATCCAAAGGACTATTAAAACACCGAATGAAGATTCCGCAACCTCTTCTCGCATTCTTTCTGATGGCAGAAACTTCGGCTCTTACGCCAGCATCCATCCTCTCCGTCGGTCGCAATGTCGCTCTTCCTGCGCTGCCCTTGCCTGAGATGTCCAGAGCGAACATCCAGGCTACCTTAGCCCTCTTGGCGGAGAAGACCAAGTTTGTGATGATGATCGTTTGGGCTCGGTCGTTGCACGGCGTGGAAATGGCCCCGGTTCAAATTTTGTGGGCGGCGATGCTGTCGTCCGTAGACGCGTCATGTTTCGCGGCGTGCTCTTGATGGTTTCGGTGGTCGGGGCCTGCTCTGAGGGCACAACGGGCCTCCACGGGTCTCAATTTAATGCTGGGGGAAGCATTGGGATCCATGGAGGCCATTGCGACCACAAGCAGGCGTATTTCGGGGCTGTCGCTTCCTTCGATTTCAAAAGTTCCGTTCTCGCTATTGGTGATGTTTTAGGCGCAAGGTCTTAGTCGCTTGTTAAGATACGACAGTGTGCCTGATGCGTGATCATGTGATGACTCTTGGCGCAAGCCATTAGTGCAAGCCTCAATCAGCCCCGGTTGTGTGGCGCAGCGATGCCGATCAAGAACCAGCCCCGCAGCTAAGGCTGCATTGCCTGATTGGCCACCGCAACATTGGAGTTGAAGCCTCTGATTGGAACGATTCTTAAGGTGCCATTCTTGCGCTTGCCCAATACATCGAGGGTCGGTTGTCTCAGGACGGCTTGAGTTCGTGAGGGGAACACAGCCCGTTTCCCCTCACCATGAGGCCAATCAGATGGCCAGAGGTTCGTGCGTCAGGCTGCCAGCTGTGACGACATGGACGAACCTCTTGGCTGCTTATCCTTCTCGGTCTCTCGAGTGGTTCTAACTGGCCAAACGACGCCAGGGGTTTCTCACATCTGGCGCCAGTGGTCTGCGCTCCGTCTTCTCCAGGAACCTACCAAGAGCTTCGACATCCAACGATCTCGCAGCTGGCGCGTGGTGTCGCGACATCTGCGAAGCCCCGGCCGTCAGCACAGCACACGACGACTGCAGGCTGTAATGGACAAGTTACCCCTCAACGTATCAGGACCTGAAAGTGAGGGAATGGACCGTGGGGGGAGCCGTGCACGCGAATCAGAGGTACGAGTAGTTGGTGCCGAAGGGATCCACCAACAGGTAGTAAGATTCGGGTCTTTGTCGATAGCCTGAACGGCAAGGAATAATTGACCTTCTTTCGAGGAGACTCCATTTGTTTTGGTGGACAAAAACGCGTTACGAGGAAGATAGTCGCGTGGTCGCGGTTGGGTGGCCCACCCACTTGTCTGGGCCACCCACTTATCATGTACGTTATAGCCTGCCGTAGTGGAGGTCGCGCCGCCGACGGGACTCCCAGCTCGCAAGATGGGCCAACGACACCAGCTCTTCGTCATCGCCCGTGTCGGCAACTACTATCGCCCACTCGCCGCGATCCACCACCAATGGCTCTACGGCGTGTCGGCCTTGCGTTCATGTCGTCGACTCCTCCGCATCTTCTCGGACCCGAGCAACCGAATCGCCCTCAAGCACGAGCTGTATCTCGCCGTCGACTTCTTCCAGAAGAGAGGTCCTCCCCCCAGCGACCCCCCGGAGTGCGAGGATCCTGAAAGGACAGCTTGTCCCTTTCCTTTCATCACCACATATCTGGCCGTTGGTGCGGCTTACGACTTTGATCTGGGCCGGGTCGATACGATTCACGAACTGGCCTTCGACACAGGCTTCGATCAAGGCGACAACAATGATGGTATCACTGTGCTGGACATCACCGATTTGGTTGATGTCCGCTACTGCTTTGTGAATCTGTTTGGTTAGTCACCTGGTACAGTTTTACCTTGACTGTATCTTGGCCTCGAATTCGAGAGCCATAAAAGTTACATGGATCAGCCTTTGGACCCTGGCTCGGGTTTCGACTTTGAGCCTTTACTAATTCTCTTTAGGTTCACGTTCGTGATTTCGAAACTGATAGTAAGGTAGGTACAACGGTGATGGATAGCAAG